AAAATGTGATGCTAAGCCAATCAGGCTTACTTCTCCAAGCCTGATTAGCTCCCCCTTGAACTTTCCCATATGTTGTCGAGTTACAACCACAAACATAAATTTATTGGGATTTCACGGGATACGCCAAGTGGCGTACGGTTCCAACATGAAAGCGCGACGACACATGATACGCATATATTAGATACAGTACACGCAGTGTATGGCTCGCAAAAGTATCCGTAGTTTTTCAACTTGTGTAATTGCGCTGGATTTTGATGTCGGAGTCTTCAAGCCAAGGGGGATAAATATGTCTAATTTCCCTTTCAATTTGGAATCGTGCTAATTTGTCCATCGTGTGAGATAAAATACATTCGCGGTTTTAAAGTGAAAACATTCAAGGAATGTGCATTTAAAGTCAGTGGAAAGTATACATCTTGTTATACATTTTTGTGTTTTCCAGGACTCGAGAATTTCACAAGAGACTGTTTTCACGTAGACGTCATCTTGAAGTCATAAATTGTGTCACAATAGGAGTCCACTTCGGTTCCTCGGGCTGGATTCCATCGTAATGTAACCCATATGACAAATTTTTTGCCTTGGTGAACAAGTTTGCTGTCGTAACCAGCAGTATGGTTCAGTTCAGTTTGGTCGGGGAACGTGTTTTTTTTTCTGTTTCTGTGGTCAAGGGTCCCAAAATATTTTGACCTGTCAGACCAAACTTTCAGAATGTGTCTGTTGGGCTTAACTTTGCTTGGGCGGCAGTCGTCTGAGAAGTGTCACTCCCAAGTGAATTGAGTCCAGTCAAGAAGGGAATGAATGTAAAGTCAATTAAAAAGCTGTAAATTACAGAGCAAACTCTAACCTTGGTTTTTGGAAATTCTGGCTATGACAGCGTGCAGCACGGTGCAGTTTCAGATTCATATTGCTGTTTTATTCATTGACGATGACGATATTGCTGTAGGCTGCTCTCAACTTTCTGCCGCGGCAAAACAAGCCTGAAAACGGCCTCTTCCCTCAGTCTGTGGGAGCCGTGTGGCATAACGTCAGCTGAAGATTTCAAGTCAGGATCATTTTTTTTTAGACAATAACCAGTGAAAGAAGGAAAGGGTCATCTTCCACCCAGATTTGTATTGTAGAGTACATATTATATCTACAGAAGTGTCCGATACTATTAAGGATTTGTTTTTATGACATTTCAGCGATTCGGAATATGGTGTTGTAAACTATCTTGTCCTTGTGTCCTATTTGGGGGGGGGGAAAAAGCCAATATGTCTGGATGGGGTTGAGTTTCAGCCTAATGACGCACCACTGTCACCCCCAAGTGTGTCCCCCGCTGTCACCCGGGGACAGTGACGCTGACAATGATTGGTGACTGTGTCCTGCTCTCCTCTGTCCCCCCTCCCCTCCATTGCTACGGTGCTCTACTTTTATCTGGCCCAACTTGCTGCCCCTGGCTCTTAATACGGAGCTTGGCTCGCCATTAATCAAAGTCAAAGTCTCTCAGTGTCTGGCTGTGACAGAGGGAGGCAGAGAGAATTAAATGAGAGAGTTGGAATGTAGTGAAGAAAGACTGAAATATTTATAGAATTGTCAAAGCAGACCCAAGAGACCGGATCATTAATTTCAAGGCGTTGCTGTCATTTTACAAAAATTGATACTTTACGGTGTCGCGTAATTGCATCAAACTGTCCTGTAACTCAGGAGGCGCCGGTGGTGATACCGATACCGGTAGATATCGCTGACAAAAGTGTTGCGATACTACACACCGATACCACAAGACTTATACTTGCTGTGTGGAAGTGATGTCAGCCATGTGGCGATAAATAAAGACAAATTATGCTCTGCAAAATGGATGATTCTAGCATCGCGCTTAATCCGTTCAGGCACCAACAGCGCTGGCGTCATAAAGCCGTGGCGCGGCGCAGGCTCCCGCCCAACGGCCCCTCCGACAAACACGTTTAGAGAGCCCCGTCGTCTCCAAAACACTGCTCAACTCTGGTCGAGATCCTCAAGCATGCGAGCGTGGAGAAATAACGAAAGACATTGGCTGTAAGAGGAAACAACAGAAAGGAACGCCGTCTCCAATAGCTAAGCTTGTGGTGTATCGAGACAGAGTGCAGATCACTTCCATGCGTCTTGTTTTTTTTTTTTTTTAGCCTGACTGGACACTGTTTGACTTGCTCTTACCATGGCGCCGGGTGTAATGTTTACATCGTTGGTCTAGAAGCTCTTCAGACAGAAGAGCCAGAGAAGGGATTGCTGTGCTCGGGCTACGCTTGGCATCTTTGGTCAGAGGGATGCTGGCTCACAATGTAGGTCAAGGATGACGTAGCAGTGAGTGGAGAGAAATATTGAGTGTGCCCCCCAAAAGAGAAAAGAAGAGACTTGTGGACTGCGTAAAGGAGGAAAAATACCCTCCGCATTTCAGCCTGTGGTGCAAAATGATGACATTTTAGTATTGTTTTTTCAGGTTTGTAGCCAACAACATTTGTCTGCGGCAATCCGCAACTTGTGCAATGTCAGGTCTTGAAATGAGGTGGGAAATGTGAATAGAGCTGTTTTGATTAAAGACTGAAAGTCTGTAGGAAAGAGAGAAAAAAAATATGATTCCTTGGCTTATGTAAAGGGGTAATTTAAATGACTTAAAAAGAGTTGAGTGTCGGACAGGGGCACTTTTGGACACTTCAGAACAGGTTTGTGGGCTTCTCATGCGGTTCTCTGGGGCTACCCAGTGGCCGCAGGAATCACAATGGTGACCTCCTGATCTAGCATAAAAAAAACTTGAGTGTGGCTTTGTTTTCCTTGGAGAGCAGAGGCGGGTGAATGGTGAGGACCGTCCCACCTGGTTTCGTTTTTTTTTTCCCCCCTGGGTAGCAGTGAGGTCTTATGAAATTCAGTCAATAACGAGATTCCGACTTTGATGCAGATGAAACTTTCGACAATGTTAACCCACCGCTTCATTTCAACCCTTTCAGGGAGAGCAGTTACTCCAGTGGACAGCATATCATGTTATTAGGTTACAGGGTGCATGAAAGGGTTAAGTAGAATTTCCTTGGCACGAATAGACAAGGCTCAAATGTTGAACAATGAAATGGCTCCCCTTCAGGCAGTCGGAATACAAATATATACTCTTGCAAATTAATCTGGCGACGCGTTAATCTGGTGACGCAACAACAACAAAATGGCGTGCTTTGTCGATCGCGTGGTGTTGGTTGTTAATCATCGCCTCAGGCGACGGAGGCAAAATTGAACGCAGAACTTAGCGGCAATCAGCTAAAGGCGCTGTCGAACCAGTTTGGAATCCCACGCAGGCACGGGGAGAACATGCAAACTCTCCCGCGCACAACTTGGCGGCAATCAGCTAAGGCGCTGTCGAACCAGTTTGGAGTCCCACGCAGTCACGGGGAGAACATGCAAACTCCCCACAGGAAGGCCGGAGGTGGAATCAAACCCACGACCTCTGCACAGTGAGGTCGACGCGCTAACCACTGGCCCACCGGGCTACCCTGCAGATATCAATGCTATTTAAATATCAGGTAAAGAGGGCTACTCTGCAGATATCAATGCTATTTAAATATCAGGTAAAGCTGGATGTATAATACCAATACAAATACTGTAGGTATGTCAGGGGCAGGTGTTATTTTTGTCCACCTGCAGTCGGCATTCTCACGTCTCCACACTGGACGGATGTATAATTCCAATAAATACCGTAGGTATGTCAGGGGCAGGTGTTATTTTTGTTCACCTGCAGTCGGCATTCTCACGTCTCCACACTGGAGTGAATGTATGTGACTAAGAGTCAGGGCCTGACCAGTTGATGAGTGATGTGGGAGTCTGCAAATGAGAGCGTAGAGGCCAGCAAACACGTGCTGAGTGACTCGGCGTCAGTTGTAGCCGTCGGCAGCTTGTGCCCGAATGTAAACAAACTTATTAGGCGTCTGTTTTCTCATCATTCCTTCAATAAAGTGAGCAAAAAGCGCACGGGCGGCTGTGTGTACCCTCGGCCACCTGTGGAGGGATTACAATTCGTTTTAAGTTCGAGTAGTAGGTTAAATTAGCGAGTGATGTTGATCGTCGACGGTGTTGTGTAAGACAGTTCTGTTCCAAATTTTGGGAATTTTGTGAGACGTCCGCAATGTAGAGAGACCACGAAAAAGTGAACCGGTATATGGGGAGTGATTGTACTGGCATGGACATAACTATTAAGATAATTCAGATCCATTCTTATATCCCATAGAAATGATTAAAATAAAAACAAAAAAAAAGATCATTAACACTCCACATCGTCGATCAAGGACAATGAGTCAACTGCACATCCCAAGTGAGGATTGTAGTTGATGGTATATGGGGAGTGATTGTACTGGCATCGACATAACTGTTAAGATAATTCAGATTCATTCTTATATCCCATAGAAATGATTAAAAAAAAAAAAAGATCATTAATACTCCACATCATTGATCAAGGACAATTAGTCAACTGCACATCCCAAGTGAGGATTGTAGTTGAAACCTTGGCAGTGCTGCACACCTACATGCTGGAGTCGCGAGCCCATAATAGCGGTGACAACGTTCATCTAATCACCTTCCATGTTTCGTTCTTTTTTTTTTTTTTCCCTAGCGTGCGGCTCTTTTCCAGACAAATTAATGAAAGAAATTCCTTTCGGGAACAAACCATCTGGCGTGTCAGATTCCAATTAAATGCCAAGAGATGTTTAATTCCAATGAAATACAGAATTGCAGGGAACAATTTCAGCTGACATGCGAACATGTTTTTGCGAACCAAACTGAAAATGGATTTGGATGCTTTGAATATTCGTCATGAAGAATTCTTCATCGTCCATTTCCTCTTTGTGTAACAGGAACAATGCAATTACCTGGCAACAAAAGGCCACAAAGAGCGGGACACCCGCTTGGCAGATTACACTTCATTACCGCAGCCCACCTCGATAATAGACATTGGCATTTCTTCGTCTCCATCTATCTGTCAAGCGTGCTATTAGCCTGTCAAAGCGCGACAGACCACCCTGGTAATAAGGCCTATTTACTCTCCTTTCCCTCAAATTCACTGCCATGGTTGCACCGTTTGGTTGTCTTCCCCCCAAATTGTGACTCATTCTTTGAATTCAGTTGGTCATGAAATCTTTTGTCAGATTTCCAAAATAACTGACAATAAACTGAACTTAAACAAGGACCGATGCTACTAGCTAGCAATATATATATATATAGAAAGATAGAGAGAGAGAGAGAGAAAGAGAGAGAGAGAGAGAGAGAGAGAGAGAGAGAGAGACAGAGAGAGAGAGAGAGCTAGCTAGCTAGCTAGCTAGCTAGCAATTTTGGATTATCAACTAGATATGGAGCAGATATGGTTTAGTTGCTGAAGCACGTCTGAATGTTGCATGCAGCTCAAAATTGTCCAGCTAAATTCACCATAAAATTATTCATTTCATCTTGCCCTCATAATAACTGTTACAAGATGAGATCAAGAGATTTTTGACTTTTTAGTTTGTAGGTGTATTATAGTTACCTATATTGTGTTTCCCGGCAATGTTGGCTATGAAAAGGTACATTTCCTCCATGTTTCTGGTGCCGAAGTGATCCTATTTTTCTTGCTCCCGACAGGAGAATGGACATGTGACACGTGCAATTTTAATGGGCGGCGATGACATGCTGCAGAGCGTGACATGACAACGTGGCAGAGTGAGTCACCGGCCAACTTCAAAAGCAAATACGTAAGTGTTGACATCACCTCATACGACAACTCCGGATCATCTTTCACCTCACTGCAACTGCACGTGACCATGAAAGCCTTATAGATTTGTGTCCTTTCAAGTGCATGTTCCAAACCAACAGGAGCATGAAAAGGCCCCAGCAGAAAACGACAGATAACATTTTTGACACGCGCACAAACAATGTCAGAAAGTGCAGAAAGAAAATAGGGTGAAGGTCGATTTGAATGCTCGGCTGAAGTTCCGCCGCATGTACAACCGCGAACGTACTGTAGATCGGAAAGAGTTCAGAGTCAGAGTCACTGCAAGCACTTACCGGCCTGGTTGGTGGTGATGTCTATCGACACGTGCTGCGACGGGTAGGGGCTCTTATTGCTGACGCCGTTGACGGCCTGTATCTCGAAGCTGTATAGCGTGTGCGCCAGCAGGTTGCTGATGAACACCCTGGTCTCGGTCAGACCCAGTTGACGAGGGACAAATTCCACATTGTCGTCGCAGTGGGAGCAGGCGCGCCGGTCGGCCTGGCATTTTTTGCACAAGATGTTGTACACCACGTCGCCGCGGCCGCCCGTCTCCCTCGGAGAATGCCACTCCAGGATCACGGAGGTCTCGTTCACGATGGATATGACATTCCTTGGGCTGGATGGGACACCTGTAGAGACACATGGCACATGTAAGCTAAAGGCCGAGGAAGCTTGGATTTGTGTCAGGAACAATTCAATAAGTTGCCCTCGAAGGAATCTGAACATAAAAGATACGGTCGCAGAGGACAAATTGTATTTTGTGCAATTCTCCGCAACTGGGTCGATTTAGTCAGCGTAATGTGTTGTTGGCAACGGCCACTTTTTTTTCCCCCCTCTTTCTTCAGCACCATTGGAATGCTAATTTATTCCTCTCACACCCAGGGGGATCATACAGCGAAACGTTTGTGCCTATCAAACATTGGTTATTTAGCAAAATGCAGTGTTGCATGGAGTATTCTTATCCAAGTGGCTCTGGAGATTCACGCTCCCATTCACTCCCCAGGAGCAAAAACCTCCAAAATTATATTCATGGAAAAATCACAGAACGATAAAACAAAGTGCTTTGCTTGAGTGGCGCATTCAGATTCGGCTGCTTAAAAGCGTTTCGTCCGCCATCACCCGCATGGAGTACAGTTCTTTAAGAGTTCAAATGATGGCGTAGATTCTTGGCCGCGTGTGAGACTCCCTCTAGACACTCGGTGATATCTTGGCCCCGAGATAGCACGCATGGCCATCGACACAGAGCCGCGCAGCGCCAAAGCTGCTTATAGGTTCAGGAAGGGTTCCCCGGAGACCAGATTTGAAAGCTATTTATCCCTGTGAAGTCTGCCCTTTATTTTGAAAGAAGTTGAACGAACCTACTTCTCACATACATCGTGGCGGAAAGTATAGCAAGTACAGTGGCACCTCTACTTACGAAATCAATTGGTTCTGGAAATTTCTTAACTAGAAAACTTTGTAAGTAGAGACATGTTTTCCATGTAAATGCCCTAATCCGTTCCGAGCCCCCGCAAATTCAGACATAAATGTTTTCTAAAGCATAAAAATACATCAAAATATGTAACAGATACATGTTACAATTACATTCTTGCACAATAAATGAAAGCTATTCATAATATAAAAAACAAAGAATGGATTAAAAAATAAAAATGATGGTCATTTAATTTTCTTACGTAACAAGAGGCAATATTTTCCTGTTGAGGCGTTTCGTAACTTGAAATTCTCTTATGGAGAGACGTTCGCAAGTCGAGGTACCACTGTATACCAGGATCACTTTCTAGCGACTACTTATTGCCAAACATAATCTCGGTAGATCAAGCATCCAAAATTCTTTGTTCGAGTGTCCGAAATGAACCACCGCCACTGGTTCGGTGTCTTGCCACCAGGCACGACCAAGAAGGACTTCAGTCTTTTCAGCATAATATGTTGTTGACACTGACACGATTAATCATAGTCTGCAAAGCTTTGTGCGATTGTCCTTTGGAGCTGGAACCAAGTGGGTCCTCGGCTCACCGCCCCAGCAATGCGATGTCGGTGACAGGAAGAGCGCGACCCTATTGGTGTGATTATTACGGTCTGGCGGAGAGGACAACATCTCCACATACCTGCTGAAATGGATCATAATTGGCTCGTGTATAGGGAGGACCGCAATCGGCCATATCTTCGAACAAGTGTCGCTATGCGTTTATGCTATTGACACGGTTGCGTATGTAGGGGCACATCTCTCAAAGACACAGGCAATTGACATCTGTCCGTGTGGAACAGGCACGTGACGTGAACACACACGCCTGAGCCAGTGCGTTCTCATGTTCCGTCCCCAACTGCGTGATGAATACACTCGTTGGAAACATAACTGTGACTTATGTCATCCATTCCAGAGGGCGATACAGGCCCCTCACCCTGTTGTCCTGGCTCCAGCTGAGCTACATGTGCCGGAATGACGTTGGAAATCAGATGTGACTGCCACTTATCCAGCGATTTGCAGGCCATTAGGACGGCGAGCCCATGGCAGTTTTAATTGGCCGTAGGATTTAATTTGTAGGGAATGTTCCTTGCGGGCTCTCAGCTGGTCTTCATTTGGCCATGTCAGTCACAATTGTTTATGCACAGAGACACACTTCTTTCATTCATCCAGTATTTCAGGGGAGGGATATCATCATATCCAGGCAGACTTTAATTTAATCATTAAATCAGACGGACCAGTGCAACCAGTAAGTTCAGATGCTCCAGGGGCAGTGAGTGGGTGTATTACAGTGCAAATGTTTTCTTTTTCCTTCCATTCGGGTAATTCGATTATGCACAAAAGGCACTTTTTCTTTCCCTATTAAAACACTGACTCTTGTGTTGTTCGAAACGAAACAAGCAGACATTTTGCAACTTATCTCAAAATCCACCCCAAATGCATGTGAGGTGACTTCGTTGCAGACTGAATTGTCCAGATGTGTTAATGGTTGCAATCGGCATTGTGTCCATTTTCCCATTTGTATTGAAAATTTCGATTTCAAAATATCTTAAGGCTTAGGTACCGTGAAAATTCTGATCTTCTGTGCCTGTGCCAAGATACGAAGAGGTCCTGTGGGTTCTCTGTAAGATCTGGTGCGTTACGAGCTGTCCATGTCGTGAAAAAAGGATTTCGCAGAGGCTGTAGCTGATCTTCTGTGCCTGTGCCAATATACGAAGAGGTCCTGTGGGGTTCTCTGTAAGATCCGGTGTGTTACGAGCTATCCATGTCGTGAAAAAAGGATTTCGCAGAGGCTGTAAAAGCCAACAATCTAGTTCCTTTCCCCGGATGCTAATATGACGCGTGCCCCTGTGTCTAAAACGAACCCTTAACAATGTTTACTCATCCCTCCCTTGGAAAGACAGGGGCCTTATGTTTCTGCACTTTTAAACCGTTTGTTTTTGTGTTGTTGAAACAGGCTTAAGGGAGCCACAGAAGGTCCCTGCGCGCAGATACCTATCACCAGTCAGAGTAGCCCGAAAGGAGCACTGAACATTTTGAGTGGGTTGGTGAAATAACAGCATGTGATTAGGACTAATATTTCGTGGGGGTGTGAGAGACAGAGATGGGGGCGTAGGTGGCCTGCTGGCACTGTGCACTTCGGCTCACCAGCCCCAACATCAACTTTACCTGCACAACGGGAAGAGATTTGGGTTCTGTACATTTTTTTTTCTTTTGCTGGAAAAGCTGCCTTTAGATCCATAAGTTTCACTATGCAAACCGCCTTAGCATAGAAGAGGGAACTTTGTTGTGCTTCCCATATCTTCCTCATTAGCCCTTCCTTGAAAATCCTCCCATGATTTCTTTTTTCTTGTATGATTCCATGCAGCACAGTGCTTCATTTCTGCATCTATTCTCCCTTATGACCCAATCAGCATTGGTTCTGCTGCCTGACTCGCCGAAGCTACCACTCGGCTTGTCACACCTCCTCTTACTCACACGTCGAAGGGAGAATAAATAAATAAATCCACAGGCCCACGGAAAATGTTTACTGATTACACCATTCTCACATTTTCTCTTTTCCAAATGGAGGCGTGGGGAGGGAGGACTTTGTCTGACGAGAGCATCCAAGTTAGCTGCGAGGAAGTTAACGTGTGTGTGTGTGAAAGACGTAAGACTTGCTGCCGCCACCATTCTCTTCGGGCTAGGCTGGAGTCAGCAGAAGATGGCAGATTGGGATGGTGAAGAGATGAGATCGTTTGGCCTATCCCTGGGGAAGCAGGATGAATGGGAAGGGGGGCGATGACATGAAGCTCCCCGCTGACAGAGCCAGACGCTGGACTATCCATCAGCGAGCTAATCAGAGCGATCTGGAGCACGCGGGGACCAGGTCCTCTGATGCAGGCCTGCAAAAAAGCGCGAGAGCGTCTGCTGCCGCGGAACGGCCTGATTTGCGCTACGCCGTTGCTCTTATCAGGCCCGACTGCGTTGAAGAGATTCTTACGAGGAGGATCTCAATGCCTACCCCTGCTGAGATCGAGGGAAGCCGGAGCATCAAGCCAAGCTTCTACTTTGTAGTCGGAGAAGCGGTGTATATGCTGTTGCAAGAGGATCCTTCCACCTAAGTTTGAGGAGGAATCGCAGCAATCTTTTCGGTGATCAAAGGGGCAGTTGACATTTTAAAGCATTCCTCCCATGAGTCCCTCCCCTCCAAATACACTGAAAGAAACTACTGTGAAATGAGTATTTGATTGTTCCTTTAACGTGAGATCGTTTTTGTAACAGAACACCGATGATGACATGTTAATTAGGTGAGTTTGGGAACATCCGCAAGACAGTCCTAGCCAGTAGATCGGCTACTCCATCCCAGGGCAAAAGCTGCCAAAGTGTTTCATCCCAGTCTCCCATGGGCTGTGTCATGACCACCCAAGCGGAGAAATGCAGCGACTCAGATAAGTGGCCATTGTGTCTTTACTATCTCCGTTGGAATGATAAGTAAAGTCACCCCATCCTTGTCTAGTTCTCGAAGCCAGGAAGCACGACTGAGCCTACCTGGTCTCGGTCTCCCGATGTGAGTATCCGGAGCACGAAAGCATTCTTAGTGAGACATCGGTTGTCACCAGAAGAGTGACAGTAACTGCCACTGTAGGTGAATTTCTCATACCAGCTACAGGTTAAGGACAAAATAATTATTGAATTACTACATTTGCAATCTACGGATGCAATTCCCTGATGACAAATAACCAAATATGTTGTTGCGACTTTCCGGCTTTCCCCATCAGGGGGCGCCACAGCGCATCGGTCGCATGACTTGTTTGCAACGGTTTGGACGTGAGATACATTTCGTCAAACAACCCATCCATCTATTATCCAGTCGGGTCTGGCTGTGGCTGGTTTATGGGGGCACTGGCCAGGAATCAATACATCTGCACAAAAGGCAACAGCATGTAACGCTCCACCACCTGGCTAATAATCATATATAATCTACCATAAAAGCAAGTGTGATCTTGGAGTTGCGCCGATTAATGAACACAAAAGACACAATTAAAGGAATTGAGAGATGCGGTGGACTTGAAAAGAGCAAGAGAAATCCGAACAAACTAGACTGCAACAAACTCCACTTGGGACCTCTTGGAAAGATAGCTTGGGCGAGAGCTGAGGGCCTCAAGGTACAGGCAGATGGCGTACTCGATGGAGCAACCGCTAATTCACCAGAGAGGTGTTGCGCGCCGTGCCAAGGGAGGCCAGACACGATGAGAGAAACTCCAAAGCCGAAAGGTGTGGATGAATTCATTGGGGAGCGGTTGGAATAGCCAAGCAGACAGCTGTGCTGCAGCGGGGCTCCTCCACAGCCTCAAGGCATTTATTTTAAGAGATTGAAAAAAACTAAACAAAACAAAACAGGTTTTTATGCCTATTAGATTCACTCGTAGATAGCAATTACGAAAAGTCCCATTAGCCATGACTGTATCATAAAAACTTTCAAATGCAAAAATCATACTATTAACCTGCTGTGAGAGGAGCAGCAGAGAGGTAAATACAGTTTTTCCAGTTATCAGAGTGCTCTGCAGTGCGTGTATGTGTGGCAACAGGGACGGCGGGAAGTCTCAGCATAACGATTTATTTATTTTTTTAAAACTGTAATAAGTCAACAATGAGGCTGCGAGAGTCTTCATTGGATTGGCAACAGACAGGGACGATGGTTGCTTCACGGCATCTGCCTGAGTAATTGGGACTTGAGGGGACGACAGCAGACAGACAGAAAAAGAAAGAAACTGTGACCTCACTCAATCAAAGTGAGTGTCAAAACAGTTTAAGTCAACCAAGATCAATCATTTCGGGAATTGAAAGTACTTTGAAAATGTCCAGAGAAAAAAAGAATCGTGTAAAATGGACTTTGACCTGCTTCCATGCGCGATTACAAGAGGACGGCTAACTTGTGTCACACGGCTAACTTGTGTCACACGGCTAATTTGTGTCACACGGCTAACTTGTGTCACACGGCTAACTTGTGTCACCTAAGTTCAGGAACCACTGAAGTTATGTGAGTCATGTTTTGCTTTGGCTTTATTTTTGGGGCTCTTCTTTTGGGGGGGGGCACTGTTTGCAAAGCAATCAAACAGCTAATAGCCTCGTGCCTGTTAGCGCTGCTTTGACTGTAGTAGTTACAACGGAAAGCCCTCACTTTGCTAGTAATGAGTAGAAGACAAGATACAAGTGAGGCATGTATGGCTATGTTATATTTTACTTAAAGGTAACATTTCTACTGTTAAAAAAATGCTAAAACCACATATTTCTGCGACTTTTAACCAACCTAGGATATGTAATGTGGAGGAGATCTCCATCCATCAATGTGCCTTCTTTACCATGTCACACATTTGTCTTGTGTCACAGAGCTCGCGTCCCGGCGACACAGCATTTCTAATTTTCTTCACATTGTTGACAGCACAACTCCAACCAAATTTCTTGCTGCTCTCCTCTCTGTGAAATAACGTTGCCACCAACTCTCGTTTGGATGCGGCGCCGGTCGTCATCGTGCGCTGCAGCCTAAATTGAGCATTTTTCAATTTGGCTGCCTGATGTTTTTTTTTTCTATTCCGGGGCATTTGTCATCGTGACGCCAAAGCACGGCGTTTCGTCATCGCATGGCGGTAGCACATAAACAAAGAATGGCTTGATTGATGGTGCACTGCACTATGCTAAGTGCAGTGTGAAAGTGTGGCCTTAGGACTCCAGCATCACCATACGCATACTATATCTTGTCTGTTGAATGAAAAAAATGTGACATTTTGATCCTTTGACAGATTATTATATCATTACACTGGCATAGCTTCAAAACTGAAAAGAAAACACAAACAAAAACAGCATCCGAGAGAGGAAAGAATCATGCTCGGAGGTTTCACTCGATTGTGAGTTGAGGTCAACTTGAGCAACACATCAACTTCCATGACGTTATGTCATATTGATGTGAAAACTAAAGTGCTTCGATGCATACATCCCATTACTGGCTGCACACTGTCAAAACGTTTATGTCATGTCGAGTACTCACTGGTGCAGGGTTGGTCTGGCTGATCAGCGTCACCACGGTAGTAACCATTGCGACAGACGCAGATGGTGGCGGCCTCAGCGGTTGAGCGGCTGTTCGGAGGGCACTGAAGACACAGCCCGGGACCCTGGGTTGACTTGAAGGTACCCGGTGGGCATGCTGGGAAAAGAAACACAACATCAACTTGAATGAAAATAGACTGAGACGGACAGAAGACCAGATTGAAAGCGAGTGAATTCTGTGGAAGTGGATTGAGTTATGCATAACTCTTGAGAGGCCATATTTTCTGCCACTTACAGTCTCCGAACACAGCATTCAAGAGAGATTTGGAGGAAAAAAAAGGCGTTCTCATGAGAACTGAGTCACACTATCACTATTTTGTTTGAAATGGACAACTATCTGGCCACTTTTATGGTGAGTAAGTGGAATAAAATATACGATACAATTTCCTGTGAGCACAGTTAAGGTCTCTTGTGCCGTCTATTCAGAAAACAGACAAATGTAAATTGACAACGCGTCCCATGTTTTAAAACCTGGTCATGTTTTTTTTTCCTTTTCTTTTCACATGCAAAAATCAATAGACTGCACTAAAAGCACCGTGAAACCAAGCTGACAGCTCGCTGGAGTCAGATTTTGCACCTTGTAATCACACATTGTGGTACGTTCTAAGAGAAGGTTGACACAGATTGTTTTGTACTTTTTTTTTCTTTTTCAAAGCCATCAAGTCAATGGCAAAAAAAACAAAGTCCAGAAGCCAAAAAGTGAGGTAGTCACTGTTTTATAATCAGATTTGCATCGACTTGCGGCAGTGACATTGCTTTGTTTGCACAATGACTATTAGATTATGAGTGGGCTCCCGCGGGACGACCGTACGTTCCGGTGGTGGCCCCGTTGTCAGTCAGCCGTGGTTAGCTTTAAAGAACGCATTAGGCCTTAATTCGGAAAGGCCACCGTGGAGGACAAAGATTATTGTGGATGATATGAGCGCTGGAATCGAGGTAATAACCTCATTTGTTTACCATCACATCCCAAAAGAATGCAAAGCGGATGACGGGCAAAGCACAGAAGGATTTACCGACTGTAATAACCGCGATAAATGTTTAATGGTTCCGCCGCCTTCCTGACGCTGGAGGACGCAATGACGTTGCAACACCTCATGAGGGGGATTGTAAAAAAAATGAATGAATCTCACGTCTTACTGATCCCCCCCCCCCCGTTTCGTGAATTTGCAACATTGAGGCCTAAAATAAAGCCAATTAGAAGCAAAAATATTTCAAAATAAAACCAAACATAAAACAAAGACAATATACCATACAGTGTTGCACAGATACAAAAGACAGTGCATGCCATTGCAGCACAGGTTGAATAAACGGTCGTAAACGGGCGCAGCGACCATGTGGAGTATACTTCAATCACTTTGAAATGATGATCTTGGAATGCATGCGGTGAGTTATTACTTTTTGCACAGAGCGTTGCAGTCGTTTGGGGCAGAAAATTGAAAAGTAGATGAACCAAAAGTAGAACAGACTTTGGGAACAAAGAGGCTGAAAAAAAAAGTGCAGGTTGGTAAGGGAGTGAATTTTTAAAGTTAAATATGGACCAGTGACTGTTAGCGAAGAGAAAGCTACTTAACCAGGTAGTTCAGTTCACAGTGATGGTTGACGCAACCTGTTACCTTGTTACCCAAATGTTCAAATTCACAGATTGCATCTTCCCAAGGCATCATTTTCGGTGGTTTCGCTCGTGGTTTCCAAATTCTAGAAGGACCATTCACGGGCTGGGTCTTTCGACGCCTTCAAAGTGTCCTCCTCGTGTAACCTCGGTGAACCACGTAAACCGCGGCGAGTTTGGACATGGTTAAATGTGACTTGGGACACGACATGCGCTTGACGGAAGTGACGTCATGCGGCCGAAAACCCGGCCAGTGAATTTGAACACCCTATGTTGTTGTCATACCAGAACAAGAACGACTTCCTGTTGATGTGTCTCAGAATCATGGGAAATGTAGCCTAATGCTGCGTTTGCCGGTGAGACCCAGTGCAAGCAAAGCTTTTCTGGCATCACATTTACAATGTTACAATGTGGGACCGGACGGGTGCGAGCAAAACAACACAGCCAGCTTCCGATAGCTGCCAGAAGCGAGCGAAAAAGGTTGAATAGTGAGTGCATTGGCTTGTTTTTAGTCGTCCAACTGTCAACAAAGACAACATTTAGCATGAGGCAAAAGTAATAACACAACCACCAGTCACCAGATTGAATAGCTATGTTACATTTTTGGGGGGGGGGGGGGGGGGTCATCCCCTCCTCTGCTCGAAGCATCCCCGTGCATGGCGAACAAAAGCTAGCGAGAGACATGACGCTAATCCAAATTTCGTGTTGTGACCCTCGCATTAGAACGCTAAATCTATCAAATAAACATACAATACAAACAGAAAAAAACTATTTAACAAACAATGCTTCTCAAACATAACACGTCTTCTAATCCTGAGCAGCATATGTTTGAAAATATCTTCAAATACACCCCTTCATTGATATTGATCAAATTGAAGGCACAGATGGGGCCAGATATGGCTTTTTTTTTTTTTACACAGATCATATTGATCATGAATATTGTGTGCTGCCATCTCAGTGCAGTAAATGTAATTGTATCAAACAAGATTGCATGCATGCTTCATTAAAAATGCAATGACAGGTCGATCCATTTTTCTGTCAAAAATGGGAGAGAGAAGCCAGCTATTCTTTTCTCTTCAAGCACGATATTTGACGTGCTTCTGGTGTAGGATGCTGAGAGCGAATGAAGAAGCTGAGTGAAGGAGAAAGAGGAGGCCTAGACTCCCACACGCGCACAGATACAAAGACACACACACACACACACACACACACACACACACACACACACACACACACACACACACACACACACACTGTGGCCATTGCACCCAACAGCGAGTGTTCGCCATCTTTTGATGCAACCGCCAGACACACCGGCGGGTAACTGACTAGCCTGACGTATCGACACAAAACGCAGCCTCAGACCCCGTCACGACACAAACGCACACATGCAATACCGTACACGCGGGACTAGATCCCAACAACCGCAAACAGCTTATGAAACAACCCCAGGAGCCATGAGGCAGATTAAAGCCGCGCTTCACAAGGAGCAAAACAAACTGTAATGCCGCGATTGCACCCCGGCTATCTTTGGACCGTGAATAAATATGTTGGTGTGTGCATCGTCTTGCAGCGTTTTTCAGGGAAGCAATATAAATGCCAGCATAGTTTCTGGATGTGTATGTCTGTGATTAGATCAGATTTTACCTGTCTCTCCTAATACAAGGATATTGAGACTGTTAAAACATTGGCCACGTGGGGGAGAAAAAAAGAGCTGCGAGAGCAATAACTTTGATTGGTATCAGGCATTACAAGATAATAAAAAGCATTTGTGAAATTGGAAAAAAAACCAAATAGATTGCGATACGTTGTTCTCTCTGTTTAAGAGGGCCTAAATGCATGAACGCGTGCATTGTTCTCTCCTTCCAAAGGGGTTGAAAAACATGTTCAATTCCAACACTTCAGTTGTGCCGAAGACCTCAGATGAGGCTCAATTTGAATTACCGTATTTTGCGTACTATAAGGCGCACCAAAAAGCAGTCCATTTCCTCAAAAGCCGACAGTGCGCCTTATAATCCGATGCGCCTGACATCTACACATATATGGCTCAATTAATTAATTATTTTAAATGTCCTGTAAAGCGCTTTGTTACAGCTGCAACACTTGGGAAATCTCTATATAAAATTGTAAGAAGATAAGAAAACCTTTAATTGTCTCACAATGGAGAAATTCGCAATGTATTTTGTATTGTATTCCCTTTAGCAATGCTCCATCTAAATGTCCTGTAAAGCGCTTTGTTACAGCTGCAACACTTGGGAAATCTCTATATAAAATTGTAAGAAGATAAGAAAACCTTTAATTGTCTCACAATGGAGAAATTCGCAATGTATTTTGTATTGTATTCCCTTTAGCAATGCTCCATCTAGTGGCTGTATAACGCAACCACAGCCACTATTGTAGCTTTTATTTATGTGCCTTATAATGTGGTGCGCCTTATATCTGAGAACTGTTTTAAAGTAGGCCATTCATTGCAGGTGCGCCTTATACTCCTTATCGTGTGGAAAATACGGTATTCATCATACACACTTGGTACCGGCACAAGCATGTTCAATCGCTCAAAACAATTATTATTATTATTATTCAGCCGAATATATTGATAGCATCGCTTAGCGACGACATCAGCCGATGAATTCTTGTAACCGTTGTTATGATAGGACCTGGAAGCAAATTTAAAAGCAGAAATACTCACATAGTCTCACACAACCTTCATAACTTTATAACTACAGGATTACGCAAACAAACACCGTCAGCTCCCTTTAACAGAGGTGTGACTTTTCAGCTAAAACTTAAGATTTCATGTGCGATGCCTGGGCAAGGATTTATGGGAGTAGGCATCAGGATTCCAACATGTGTCATCGGAGATGAGGCCCATTCCCTGATTGATACATAATATGCACATGACCCCTCCCGTTAAACTCATTCCATGGCTGATCACTGATCTGCTTCACAGAGGAAGTCGCGTTTTGGGAGAGAACAAGAAAGTGATACAGTTTGTTAGCAAATCGAAAGAGGATCTTTTCATTTGGAAGTAGTCCACCATTATGTTGATCCGGTTACTTGAATATTTGGAGTTGAAGAGGCCAAGAGTTCTTGTTCTGTACGGACTCGTCACTCACCGGCTGTGTTGGTTTTCAGGCACAGGAGGAGGATAGAACATTAGATCAACAAGCAATTAGTCTCCCTTGTGTGAGAATAACCCACAATTGAACTGGCTGCATCCAGAAACACAACATTCCTCTCTTTCAAGTGGTCTCCACAGAGATCCCCAGCACTTTTCTCTCCACCTTTCTTTCTCATTTCTCCGTTTCCTCCTCGCATATTTTTCTCAGTCCCACCGGTAAGGTATTGTTTTCTGTGCTCTTCCACCTTCTCCTTTTTCTTGCTTTTTGGGTCGCCATTGATTGACAGGTTTGCCTCGCTGTTAGGCTGACCCGACTTTTTTCTTTACGGCTATCAAGAGGGTTTGTAGACTTTTCCGCGATTTTTCA